ACCACAGGGTTCTCTGCCCCTTGCCCAGGGTTGCTTCCTACCCCAGCCCTGTGGCCGACGGAGACCCCACCTGCAGACGCTGGGCTGGCAGCAGCCCGATGTTGGCAGGTCTGGTGTCTGGGGCAGCAGCGAAGGGGTTGTCCTCCACAGCGGGGCGGGCGGCCCCCTGGAGTCGGCATTGCAGGCGTGCTTGACCCGGGGACGGTAGCAGCAATGGCGGTCTTGGCGGCTCTTGCTCCGGCAGCAGGTCCTGCTGTGGCTCTGGAGGTTGGACAGGAGCTCCTCACTCCCCGGAGGCCACCCACAATTGAGCAGCCCAACAGCCTTTTATATTGGGGCTGCACTGCGAGCATGCCCAGCAGGGCTGCAGGGTAGGGGCATATTCCACCCAATAGGTGGGCTCTCTGCCCCCCTGTTCAGTGCAGGGCAGGCCAGCCCCATCATACAGCGGCTTCCAATGGCACACATTTCCCAGCCACTTCACCGCCCGCGCACTGCATGACTCCCTCCCTTCTCCCCCCATAGGGGACTGCCTGTGTCGCACAGGGCTCCTGGTCCAGCAGTGCTGCCTCCCTCTCCTCCAGGCCGCTTGTTAATACAGCAGCTACTGCCACCACTGCCAGGGGCCAGGTGGGCTCAAGGCAAAACCTGGCAGAGCTGTTCCTGGACTTCCACACCTTGGAGCTGCTGCCTCAGGGGGCTGCGTGTAGCCCGGCTGGGGCACTCAGCAGCTCCTCCCCACCCCACTGGCAGCCAGCCCAGTCTGGCAGGGAAGATCGTGGTTTCTTTACCATCAACTTGCCCTCCGTGCGGGGAGCTGCTGTTGCAGCCTCACAGTTGCACTAGCAAAATGGCTTGGGTGTAATTATGTAATTAGTGGTGAGTTTCCATTAGCGACTGGTGGTCCATGGAAAGGTTTACATTGAGCCTGGTAGCTCATGGGCTACAACGTTTGAGAACCACTGAAATAGAGGCATCCCCAGACTCTCCCCTCAAGTTAGTGCAATGCAAGTTGGGCTAATGCAATGCTGCGTGGGAGGGGGGCTGAGCTCCCTCCCCCTTCCCCTCCTGCTGAGGTAGTGGCAGTGTGCTGTCCAGAGGCTTTCCCCACTGAAAGAGGGCATGAAGCCAGATGCCCACTCATGGCCAGACCCTCACACCCTCCCCTCCCCATACCAAGACCCCACATCTGCAGCTTGCTCCAGGACCCTTCCTTGCTCCTGCACGCTCCCTCCTGGTCAGACACCCTTGCCCCAAGCCCCTTTCTGTACCCTCCCTCCTAAGCAGGTACTCTACCCCCAGCTTGCTTCTGCACCCTACCTCCCACTCAGACCTGGTAACTTCTTGCCCAGATCCTGTACCCCATGCCTATCCCACATACTGGCAACCATGTCCCACACACTGAACCCCCACATTTTTGTCCCCACCCCAGAGCCTAAAGGGGGGCATAAAATCCACTAACTCCGGAATCCCAGAAAAGTAAATCTGGTCTGAGGCCTTGAACCTCAGTCCTCCCTACCCTTCCCCCTCACCCTGAGCTGGAGGCTCAGGGGAGTGAGATGTCTCAGTTGGGGTCCACACCAGTGAGGGTTGGGGTTTTTGAAGGTTTTTTTTGCTTCTCAGTTGTAAGGTCCCCAGCTGATTTTTCTGTGGGTCAGTGGCCCCAACCCAATAAAGAAAACACTGAAACCTTTTGTGCTGGACATGAATTAATATTCTACTTTATTTAAAATGAAGTTTAATAAGCTAACATGAGAAAGTTAAAATGCTTAGTCTGTTTAATAATTTCAATTAAACTGTTCTCCCCAGCTGCAGCACTAGCAAACTGGCTTGAGTGTAATTATGTAATTAGTGATGAGTTTCCATTAGCAACTGGTGGTCCATGGAAAGCTTTATATTGAGCCATGTGGCTCATGGGCCAAAAAGTTTGAGCACTACTGAAATAGAGGCACCCCCTGGCTTCTCCCCCTGAGTTAGTACAATGCAAGTTGAGTTAATGCAATTGCAGGCTAGTTGCATGGGGGGATCCTATAGGGCTCCAAACCATCCTTATTGGTAGGAGGATGGTGGGAGGAGTTCTTAGAGGGGTCATTTTACTTCTGGTCATGTGTCCATCTTGACTCCAGGAGTACTCCCTCCAAGGGTGGGACTTCTTGTGGCATGCAGGCATGGCTGATAGAGGTCAAGGGGCGTGGCTGATGTGTCCATATTTTTTGAACCAAAATTAGGATCACCATACCCATGGATAATTAGGAACAGGATGAGCCATGTCTGGATCCAGACTTACATTCACTGGTGAGAGAGAATCGGCGCATGAGGGGCAGAGCTCAACACTGGGGAAACTTGGGTCATTTTTCACCCTCCCCAGTAGCCCTGTTCTGGCTGTGGAATCCTGGGTCCCCAGTTGCTCCTGCAGCAGACATCTGACTGATTCCTCTGTTTGACTTCCAGAAACAGATCAGTGGAGAGAGTTAGAGGAAAGACTGAGACTATGTCTACACTGTGGCGGTTTTCCGGGATACTAGAGGTATCCCAGAAAAACCCTGCTGCATCCAGGGAATGTGTCTGCTCTTCTGCTTTTTTTGTGGAAGAGTAGACACACTCTTTTGGGAAACCCTTTATTCCTTGTTTCCAGAGGAATAAGGGCTCCTCTCAAAGAGGAGGCTTCTCCGCCTTTTGGCCCCGTCTACATGGGGTCAAATGGCGGAAAAGCCTCTTACGAAAAACCAATTGGAAAAGCTACACAAATTGTGGAGTGCAATATACGTAGCTTTTTCTGATAAAAGAGTGTAGTCTAGACATAGCCTGAGTCTGCTGGGAGGGTGCTGAGAGGAGTCGGTAAACAGATTTAACCCCCCTGGGAATACCCCTTCCCTCAGCTGGTCCTCCCTGCCTTGTCCTGGGAGAAGAGGGGAAGAGGTGGCATTGGGGAGTAGCTTGTCCAGACCAGAGAGTAAGGAGGAGGAGGTGGCATTGTGTGAGGTAGTCCCTCCCCACCCCCAAGTGAATGGAGGCTGTGGCATCACTGGAGTGACTAGAACATGCCCAGTAACATCTGCTGAAGCCGCTGCCCTCTCTCTGCCCTCACTTGGGAGGGCAAACTGCCTCCTGCAACCAAAGGGGAATAGAGAGGAGAAGTGGGTGGGGAGGGCAGAATATGTGCAGAGCCCAAAAGGAGCAGGGAGGAGAGACCAGAGTGGATGTGAGGGAGGGGAAGAAGAGGCGCTGATGGGCACATGTGGGTGCAGCAGCTGGGGTACAGAAAGGGGGAGTCACACTGCTAGATGGGGCATAGCAGGAAACCCTGTAGTACGGAAGAGCAGGGGGGGATAAGGGATATGGGTACCACAAACCACGGGTTGAGCTCAGTGTTTTGGCTGCCAAAACAGGCTGTGGTAGACAGAGTTTGCATTTCTTACTGAATGGTCCAGCTCTGCCCCACCTCCCCAGCAGGGCGGGAGACAAGGAAGGTGCATGTGTGTGTATTTGTTTGTTTAGAGTCCAGCTCAGCCCTGCACCCAGAAGCAGCAGCTGATCTGTCTGAACCGTAGGATTGAGCTGCCAGAGGAGGCTGGATTCAGGGAAATATTTTACCCCGACACAATCTCCCTTGTAATAAACTGACACTTTCTATCACATTTTTGACACTTCAGAGAATGGCTGGTTATTTTATGTAATAGCCCCAGGCCTGCACAGAGCCAGTAGTAGGGCCACTACCCCTGGTAGCAGCAGCATAACAATCCCTCCTCCCCCTGCCACCTCCTCCACCTGCATATTGTGTGCAAGGCAGCAGGTTCTAATTCATTCCCACAAGGAACAGCTAAGGTGTGAACTTTTACCGCCAACTGGATAAGAGCCGGTTTCAAGAGATTCGAACATTGGCTAAGAAAATGCTGAGCTTGTTTGGCTCAACATATATGTGTGAGAAGACATTCTCTGCTATGAACTTTAACAAGAACCGCGTGAGGACAAGACTAAGTGACTCTCACCTGCGTGACATTTTGCGCATCAAAACCACTGCCTTTGAACCAGACCTAGCCTATGTACTGCAGTCCAGATCTCAGTTTCACCCTTCACATTAGTTTAGGCAAGTTTTTTTTTCAATTGAGATGACTACATTGTAAAATCTCAGTTAATGTCAGTTGGTCTAAATCAGTTATAAATATATTTGGACACAACATGTATAGTTGGTGTTATGTCGTTTGCCGTTTGCAATAAACTTTGCATAAAATAGTTAATTTGCATTTAATTTTAATGGTTCAAAGAATGTCAGGCAAAATGGTCGGCCCTCACGCATGTTCACTTCATCAAATCTGGCCCTCTTTGAAAAAAGTTTGGACACCCCTGAGCTAAGGTGTTTGGGGAGGGTCCCATTCCTGGGTTGCTAAGCAGAGAGAGCTTCCTTCCCCCCACAGAACTGATAATGAACCTCTATGAGCTGGAACAATGCCCCTGGGGACAGCAGTGAGTGGCCTCACTCCCAGCCTTCTTGGCGGGACACCTGAGGGGAACAGAACTCTGGCCACGGTGGAGATCCGGTTCTAACCAGATTTTCCTAACTGCCCCGGAATGTTCCAGAAGAAGAGGGCAAAGCCCAAGATGGAGCCCTGGGGTCTAAGGTGACTGACTCCATTTTGTTTAGCATAAAATCACTGTGTGAACATTAAAAGCATGAACATAGAACATAAGAACATAAGAACGGCCGTACTGGGTCAGACCAAAGGTCCATCTAGCCCAGTATCCTGTCTACCGACAGTGGCCAGCACCAGGTGCCCCAGAGAGGGTGGACCGAAGACAATGATCAAGCGGTTTGTCTCCTGCCATCCCTCTCCAGCCTCTGACAAACAGAGGCCAAGGACACCATTTTATCCCCTGGCTAATAGCCTTTTATGGACCTAACCTCCATGAATTTATCCAGCTTCTCTTTAAACTCTATTATAGTCCTAGCCTTCACAGCCTCCTCTGGCAAGGAGTTCCACAGGTTGACAACACGCTGTGTGAAGAAGAACTTCCTTTTATTAGTTTTAAACCTGCTACCCATTAATTTAAACCTGCTACCCATGAGCATACAACACAATTATATATTCCAAATTAATCACTGACACATCTGCTTGTGATCTGGCATTGGGAGAATAAAATAAAAATATTTACTGTGGGACTGTGAACCCAGCGAGGAGGGAAGCATCACTAAAGGTGAATTACTGGATTATTAGTCTCTGAGGGCTGCATCTGCAAAAACAACCAGGAGTCCTGTGATACATGAAACACTAACAGGTTTATTTGGGCATGAGCTTTCATGGGCTGTGGGACTGCAACACAATTGGGACTTGCCTATAGTACAGGACAGTAGCACATTTGTTAGCTGCTGACCCTCACACATGCTGTTCAGAGCCTCTAGATAGCACAGCTGCTAAGTGTGTGTTCTGCATAATAAAAATGGAGGAATTCTGCTACAAACATGCAGATCAGCAAGTGCACTATGGCTGGTTTGCCTATAAAGGACATGGATAGGTGACTTACTCATGTGACAGACTCCATTTTGGGAGGTACCTTCACAGAGGAAAACAATGGATTTCTCTCCCTGTGAACAAGATTTTGAAAGGGGCCCTAGAGGTTCCTCCATTTGTCTTCAATCCTGCTCTTCACTTCAGAAGCATCTTTGCTATGGAGAAAGGGCTGGGAAGGATTTGTTGAACCAGCCTAACAAAGGATGTACTCTAGAGACTTTTAAGCTAGCAGTTTGTTATGTCTCTGCTAAGAACCTTCATCAATAACTTAGTGATTGATGGAGGTAATGTGAGTTCTTTTATATTTCTACTCTAAACCTTTTCTTTTCATGAATAAACCTACAGATTTTATATTCTAAATAGAAATTAAAAGGTGCAATGCCAAAAGTAACATCCCTGCGAGTTGCATGAAAACTTTTCAGACACCACAGTAGAGGCTCAACTTAATTATACACCCAAATTTCAAAACACGAACCAAAAATGTGCCCCTTTTACTTGGTTGTGGCTTAACGACAAAGTAAAAGAATCAAGCTGTGAGCTATAAAAAGGAATAATTTTAAAAGTGGAAGTTAAATCCTAGTGAGAAAAATAGAAAGGAGCCCAAACTCTGGCAAATGAAGTATAAAAACATAATTAGGAAGGCCAAAACACAATATGAAGAACAGCTGTCCAAAACTCAAAAAATAGCAAGTTACCTTTTAATTACATCAGAAGCCTGCTAAACTAACTTCTTCCCAAAATCATAAGGCTGTGTCTACATTGGCACCCTTTTCCATAAAAGGGATGCTAATGAGACACTCCAATGGAGCTGCCTACACACTCTGCTAAGCAGGGGAAGAAGACTGTTGCACTGTGCAAGGAGCAATGGCAGGGATCCATTTCTCAGTCGCTTCTTCCCTGAAAGCTGGTGTCCTCATCAAGTAGTGAAATGTCCGGTGGGGCTTTCTGGGACATTTCACTATTTGGTGGGGACACTGGGACAGAGCATTTAAATTTGGGACTGTCCCAGAAAATTCAGGATGCATGGTCGGCATAGCTGCAGGGCTTCTGTCCTCAGTATCAGTGAATTAAAGACACAAAGCTTCCTGGGGAGCAGGGGATATGCTGTCCCTTCCAAACTTGCAGCAATACTGACCAGATGTGATCCTATTCTTCCCCTTCTCTCTATTTCCCTTGTTCCCCCATCCCTTCCTTCAATCTCCCTCCAATCCTGTTCTGTTTCCTTCCCCCATTTCTCTGTCCTGCCCCCACTTTTCAGTTTCACTTTCATGTTTTCATTCCTCTCCTTCCTGGTTCCTCCTTTATCTTTGTCAGCACAAGCCAGCAGCTAGCAGGGTAAAGGGCAGAGAGAACCTGACCGTCATGGTCTCTGCAGCTACAGCAGGGGAATAACAAGAATCCACTTGCTTCATCTGCCTAGGGAATCTGACAGAGACGGTGATTCTAGCTTGTGGGCACAACTTCTGCAGAGCTTGCCTCACCCAGCACTGTGAGCAACGGGGAAGAGGGACACACCCGACCTGTCCCCAGTGTAGGGCCCTGTTCCAGAAAGAGTGGTTAAAAACCAACTCCCAGCTGAACAACATCGTACAGAAGCCAGGGAAAAGGCAAATGGAGGGCCTGTGTGAGAGACACCAGGAACATCTCAAACTCTTCTGTGAGGAGGATCAAACCCCCATCTGTTTGGTGTGCGACAGGTCCCGGGTGCACCGTGCCCACATGGTGGTGCCCATCGAGGAGGCTGCCCAGGAGTACAAGGTAGGAGACACTGCTGACTTTGCCTAATTAAAGCCCTGCAGGCCCCAGGTTTATCTCCTTCCCAATATACGGACAACTGTGCACAGCTGGCTGCTCTAAGGGAGGCAGCTAAATGAAAGGGGCCATAAGAAAAGATCTGGACTTTTTTTGCTCTGACACTGGAAATCTACACACCCTGACAGAGAGAACAGGGCTGGCTGCTTTCTGTGCACCTGTGGCCTGCCTGCTGGGGGAGGGGTGGCAAGAAGAGCCAAGCTCAATATCTGGGGGGTTCCCTTTCAACAATACAATACAAAACCGACTCGAGTCCTCATCCAATAACCTGGGAAAATTACACCCCACCCTGGGTACCTCTAACAGGCAGCACTTCCTCTCTCGCAAGTGTAACCCACGGCCCTAGTGTGGTTCACTGACCAATGCCATGGCACTTAGACCACTTACAGCAGCAGATAAGAACAAGAGACCTCTACAGCCATGGCTGTGACCCCAGTAGCTTTTAGTTCCAGAAATAGAGGCTCTTATACTAAGCTTCAGAGGTCCTAGGTTCAAATCCCCCCCCCCAGTGGTGGTTACACAAGTGCAGAGCCTGAGGCCGCATCTAGGGACTGTGTTTGCACTTCTGCTTTTCTTGTGGAAGTGCAAACATGCTCTATCGGAAGCCCCTGTATTCCTCCTTCCATGAGGAAGAAGGGGGCTTCCGAAAGAGGGCTTTTTCCCACCATTTGGCCCAGTCTAAACAGGCCAAATGTCAGAAGAGGCTTTTCCGACAAAAGTATCGGAAAAAGCTACATAAAGTGCAGAGCGCAATTTGCGTAGCTTTTTCTGATAAAGCCCCGTAGTCTAGACCTAGCCTCAGTGTAAAATCAGTGTGGGTTTCCTCCTTTCCCCAGGGTGCCCAACCTTAGCTCTGCTCCTGGCCTGCTATTAGTGACTGTCAGCTCTTGGGTGGGAGAGGGGAACGTCCTTGCTGAAGCAGGCTGGATGGAAATGCCGTCCCAGAAGTGAGATCAGCTCCAGGGAGCTCTTAGCAAAACAAACTCCCTGTGGAGCAGGGAGGAGCAAGTTACATCATGCCTAAAACTCTGGGGTGAGGGTGACCCCCTCCACTCAGGACAGGCTTAGCACAGTTCTGTTCCCCTTTACACACACACACACACACACACACACACACACACACACACACACACTAAAAACAACAACCCTGATGACAACTTGTCACTACCCCTGCACTCCAGTAGACTGTGCCCATGAAAGCTCATGATACTACTTATATTTTTGTTAGTCTCTAGGGGTACGTCTATACAGCATGGCTACTTCGGGATGCCAGAAGTATCCTGAAATAGCTACCCCGTGCTTAACAAGCCACCCATTTTTTCAAAATGTTTTTCAAAATAATGGACAGGCTATTTCAGCATCCTGGTAACCCTCACTCCACAAGGATTCAAGGCAACCAAAATAGCACATCTCAAAACAGTGCGTTATTTCAAAATTTGGCGCTGTGTGGATGCACCAAATTTTGACATACACTATTTCAAAACACAGTATAAATAAGATACACAATTTGCCATCTTGTTTTTCTGCTCCAACCCAGTAAGTGGGGGGTGGGAGGGAAAACAGTGGGGGGTCCGGGTGGGCACCTGGGGGCTGGGACTGGTTGCTGAGTGTGTCGTAGGGCTGCCAGGTGTCCAGTATTTTCATCTAATGGCAGGGGAAAAAATCAGAAAATACCGGACATTTTAATTGCCCGGAATTTTCTGAATGTTTTTACCAGACAGGAAGCAAAAATACTGGACTGTCCAAGTCAATACCAGACACCTGGCAACCCTATGTCCACCTAGGCAGAATAGGTGTTGATGTAGATACAGCTTGGTTCTGAATCCTTTCCCCCTCCCCAGCTAGCTTCTGAATCCATTCCCCCTCCCCAGCTAGCTGTCAGGGGAGAGCTCATTTCAACCCTGCTTACACACCAGGGCTGTGTCTACATTGGCATCCCTTTCTGGAAAAGCGCCAGTGTAGATGCGATTTTCCGGAAAATAAGCCCTTTCAAGTAGGAATAAGGGATCTTCCGGAAAAGGGCTTATTTTCTGGAAAATCGCATCTACACTGGGGCTTTTCTCCGGCAAAAACCCCAAGCCGGACAAAAGCGGCAGGCATGAAAATGCAAATGCTGTGGGGGATATTTAAATCCCCCACGGATTTGCAATTCCAAAGTGTCTCATTAGCATCCCTTTTCCTGAAAGGGATGCCAATGTAGACACAGCCCAGGACAATCAGGACTTTAATACATCCCTGAACATTAGTGGCACAGAAACCCTCAGCTGATATCTGCAGCCTGATCTCCTTTCTCTCTCCATATCCTGTTCTTTTGAGTCCATCAGCTCTTTCCTGTCTAGCAGCCCTGCCCCACCAACACTAACTCCTGCAACCATTCGTCCACGCATAGTTAGTAAGATGTGGGTTGCCATACAACATAGGTGCACCATGTATACACACCACAGTATCATGGTTGTCTGTGCTCTAACGTGATTCAGTTTGGGCAGCGCCAATGGGACGACACGGCTCTGGTATCCCAATTAAGGAAAACATCAGTGTTCTGATCCCCTCTCTGGGTGGGGCTGCATCTGTACTGGAGAGTGGGAGGCTGGGGACGAGATGTTGCTGAGGTTCCCTACTGTCACCCCCAGAAGAGTGGAGAGAGCATGGGCTAATGTTGGGCCTACTAGGGGCTGCAGTAGGGAGGGCGGGAAATGGCCTGAACTCCCCCAGGGACCAGACTCACTGACTGTCTCAGTTTAGTCTGAACTGTCCCAAATTTCTGCTCCAAGTCCCTCACCCAATGAGCTACTCCTCTGCCCCAAGATCTCCCAGGCCGTGTCTACACTACAGATGCTTGAGCTGTGCAGCCAAGTAACATGGGCATCCTAAATTTTAGGTTAAAACAAGGCCCCAGCCTCTGTGCTAACAGGGCTCAGAAACAGCCAGGCTGGGCAGGCACATCTCCATGACACTTGTTCTCTAGGATCCCAGCTTTCACTTCGTGTTAACCTGGGTCTCCTGATGCTCTGGTTGTGAAGAAAACCTGGGACCCTGACTCATGTGTGGGGATGCAGGGAACTGGGCACAGCAGCTCTGAGAGGTGAGACCTGCCCCAGACCTACAGTGAGGGTGTGCTCAGGTGCCCAGGGATGATCATTTAAATATCAACATTGTTCATCCCATTCTCCATGTGAGAGCAGAGAAGCCCAGCCCCATTTCCTGCCAGTGATGCTGCCTCCTTGTGCCACAGGAGAGTGCTGGAGGGAAGATACCAGCCCTTATTTTTTCCCCGGTGAAGAAGGGCCCAACCAGACAGCCCAGCAAAGCCCACATAGGGACTATGCCTAGACTGCAGGGCTCTTTCAGAAGAAGCTTTTACAGCAGAGGTCTTCCAAAAAAAACTTCTTCCAAAAGAGCGCATCCACACTGCCAAAGCGCATCGAAAAAGCGATCTGCTTTTTTGAAAGATAGCATCCACACTGAATGGATGCTCTCTCACATGTAAGCTGATTGCTTTGGATGGAGTGGCCACCAGGGTACCTGTGCTTTTTCCTCTTTTCTCAGAAGAGCTCCCTCTTCCCCGTACACACACGTCTTTTTCTGAAACAGCACTTTCGGAAAAAGGCTTTTACCATAGAATGAGGATTACCAATGTCAGAAAACCCTGACTTTCAATTTTCTTTCAAAAGAACATGATTGCAGTGTGGACGTAAGTGATATTTCAGAAAAAATGGCCGTTTTTCCAAAAAAAACTGTATAGTGTAGATATAACCAGGGAGCCAGGCTCAAGGAGCTACTTGAAACGAATCAGCAACACCAGCCTGCCCTGAACATTGTACCTGTGAACAGGCCCTGCTGTGTCCTTTTGGTGACTCACATGGGTGGAGGGTTTTTTTTGTGGGTGTAGCTTCAAAGTCCTGTGACCCTGGTCCCTCTGCCCTCTCCCCAGGCTGATCCCTGCTCAGTTAGGAAGCTGTTTTGCTGGATGCAAAGGCTGCTTCTCCTCCTGTCTCTCACCAGCCCCTGCTGGCCCCGTGGCTCAGGGTGTCCCTGCAGCAGCACCGCCGGGGTGTGAGAAGCTGCGGCCTGGGCCCCTGGGCAGGGACAGGAGAGAGCTTGAGGGCTCTGTGAAAAGAGTGAAATGGGGAGATCTGTGGATGGGGCTGAGAAAGGGGCTTGAGGGGGCTGCAGGATGACTTGGGGGCCTGGCACTGGTAAGAGGAATTGGGTCTGCCCCCACTCCCTCCAGCAGTGATGGCATGAGCTAGGGAAAGCAATGTGACCCAGCAGCCTGCTCCACTCTGCCATCTCCCAGCTGGGTTACTCCATGTCACTGCAGTGTCAGGAAGCACCTCGGGAGTGTAGCGGGTTGGGCCGGGTTGCTCTACTTTGCACTGCCATGGCGGGCTCAGGGGGCCCCAAAACCTGCTGCCAGCACCAGGCTCCCCAGTAATCCCTGGGTCATGTTGCTTGAGGGAAAAGGCTTGCAGGAAGTGGTGTAAGGGGGTGGAGGAAGGGCAGGAAAAGGCGGAGTGGAGGAGAGGCAGGGTTTGGGGGAAGGGGTGAGAAGAGGTTGGGCAGAGCCTCGGGCAGAGGGAAGGTGTCCCCGATCCCACAGTCCCCTAGGGATGGTGCTGGGTTCTTGCTGTCACTGGCTGAAGGGACCGTTCAGCCACTTCTCCTCTGGCCTGTGCGCAGGGACATGGTACCTCAGCTGACACACCGGGACGGAGTTGCCCTGAGTGGCTGCAGGAGGCAGAGCTCCTGCTCAGAGCCGGGCATCTCTGCTCCCATGGTGCCTTTGGGGCTGGCAGAGCCGAGCGGCTGCCTCCTTCCAGGCTGGGTCCTGAGCGTGTGTGTGGAAGGCCGGTGTGTACAGCGCTCCCCGCCTGCTGGACAGGCAGATAACAGCTGTTTGTCTCCCATGATGCCCTTCAGGAGAAACTCCAGAGGGCCCTGGGCCCACTCAAGAAGGAGCTGACAAAGGCCCAGGTGCTGACATCTAAAGAGGAGAATAAAACCACAGAGTGGCAGGTGGGTGTCTGGGTGTCTCTCCCTGAGCCTTCCCCCCCAGCAGCACTCCCAGGGCTGAAAGGCCATGAAGCTCCAGGACGTGGCTGTGAACCTGTTCTGGGTGCTTGCCCTATGACACGGGCCTGGTGCCAGCAGCATCAGGATATGTCTCTGGTGGGGACCTCAGCCCAGCAGCATCCTGGCCCTTGTGCTCTCATAGGGGCACCCAAATCCCTCCCACAGACACCCTCTGCAGTCCCCTGTACATCTCTCCCGTTCTATCTAATGCCACCTACAAAAACAGGCTGCAGTCTTACAAAGTCCCCTGGACAACCCTGCTATGGAACTGGCTCTATTAGCTCTGACTAAAAAACAAACCCTTTATGGTACCCTTTGAAGTAGTAACACTCCTTACAAACTTGACACTGATCTAACCTTTCCTGCTTCATGGGCAGAGGCCTCATCTGTAACTCAGCATCTGGCCTGTGGTTTCCTCTGTCTTTTCCTTTCTCCAGAGGAAAGTGCAGGAGAAGCGGGAGGTGATTGCAGGTGAATTTAACAAGCTGCACACGCTGCTGAAGGAGGAGGAGCAGCTGCTTCTGCAGAGGCTGGCGGAGGAAGAGAGGGAGACTCTGCAGAGGCTCCAGGAAAATGTCACCAAACTCTCCCAGCAAAGTGCATCTCTGCAGCAGCTGATCACAGAGATCAAGGGGAAGTGTCAGCAGCCAGCTGTGGAGCTGCTGAAGGTGAGACGGCATCAAAACGCTGCACCCAGCCAGAATCACAGCTCAGCATGTTCCGTGGGTTACTGACAAACAGAACCTCATGCCAAGGGCTCCATCAGTTCCAAACGTTACAGTTCCTGTGGGAGAGGGATTCTGGTCATGGAGCTCAAGGGAGGCCCTGGACAATTAAATGGTTGATATAAAATGATACCGAGCTAAACCCTTCCCTCCTCTGACTCGAGAGCATGGGGCCCAACATGCTTTACAAACAGCCATTCCAAGATGTGCAATGTTGGGACATGATCCCAAGGGGAGAATAGTGCAACGGAATTACTGTTTCACCTGCATAAAATGAACCATTGGAAAGCAAAATGCCTTACGAGATTTTAACCACAGTTAAGCCCAGTAAGGATGAGTCACTTTGGGTGCATCAAGACTACATGGCTCCGTCAACGGAGCCATGTAAACTAGTTTACTCGGCAGAGTCAAAGAAGCGGGGATTTAAATAATCCCTGCTTCATTTAAAAAAAATGGCCGCCGCACTGTGCTGACAATCAGCTGATCAGGCACCTCGCAGCGGTCTAGACACTGCAAGCCTTTGTCAACCGCTCCAGTATGCTTTGACCTTGCCATATCTAGACTGCCATGCTGTGCTGGATCAGCTGATTGGTGGCACAGCCCGGTGGCCATTTTTATTTTAATGAAGCGGGGATTATTTAAATCCCTGCTTCTTTGACTATGCCGAATAAACTACTTTACATGGCTCCATTGACGGAGCTATGTAGTCTAGATGAACCCTTTCTGGATGAAAGTACAGACTGGAAATTCACGGGTTTTGCACATGGCTGTAATTCAGAACATGGATTCTCTTTCTCTTTCCAGGATGTGAAGGCCACATTGAGCAGGTACGTGTCCAGTGCCCATTGCTCTGACCTACTTAGTAGCAGCTCTGCAGGGAGGTGTGCACAGAGCAGCCGAGTGATGCTGGGATGTTTTCTTCATAGGAGTGAAATTAGCAAACTCCAGGAACCAGAAGCCGTTTGCACTGACTTGAAGCACATGTATAAAATTTGTCTTGATATGAGGGAAGCTCTGAACAGATTTGCAGGTGAGTGGGAGCCCCTGGGACATTGAGCTGTTTTGTGTCGGGGGCTTGGGGTGGAGCCTGGGGCCCCAGGACATACAGGGACCTGGCTGGCAGGCTGGGAGCTGGGCGGTAGCTGGAGGCTGATGCGCTCAGTGCTGGGGAGTTTGCCTACTGCTCACACCCAGCTGCTGGCACTTGCTGGGGATCTGACCTAGTCCCATCACATTGGCCCTCCCTGGCTGGGTCAATGTCACTGACCAGGTGCTGGGATGCCTGGACTAGGCCATTGTACTGGGAGCTGCTGCACATACTAGTAAGGGGTAGGGTTGACAGGTGTCTGGTACTGACCCGGACGATCTGGGATTTTCACCTCCTGTCAGGTGGTAAAATTCAGAAAATACTGGACACCTAAAATGTCGGCTATTTTCTGATTTCCCCCCCACCCCGGCCAGGAGGCAAAAATCCTGGGTGCTTACTGGGTTCCACACAGGAAGTATCTGGCCCCGCACAGGGAGGAAAGATGGTGGGCAGCCTGTTAGGGCTAAAAAGCCTCACCACATGTTTTTCAAAAGAGGACACTGATTTTTTTGGGGGGGAGGGAAGTTTGGGGGGCTTCTTGCTAAACAACTCGGGGTCTTTTTTTTTTTCTGTATTTTTTCTGAAAATACCTGGCAACCCTAGTAACGGATGATGTGGGCCATCCCTACAAATAGACACCATGTGCAGCTGTTTAGGGCACCACAAATCCTGAATCACCACATTAGGCTTGTGTACCAGCACAGGTGTCCAGCTCCATCTCCCAGCCAGTCTTCCCTGGTCTGTGCACAGCAAGACCATTCATAAGGGGGTGCAGGGCTTGGCACAACTCCTCTGCTCCATCCCACCTCATCCCAGTCCTTGCCCCAAGACCTGTCTCCTGAGTGTCACAGCCTGGAGGTTTAGTGGGGGGGGTCAGGCACTTGCACCAAGAGTCAGGGACCCCTTCCCATCAGTAGTGGCAGGAAATGGAGCAACATGGAGATAGACCACTCCACTCCATTGGCTCCCAGTTTCATCAGTCTGCTTCCCATCACTGGTGAGTTTGAGGGCAGTAGCACTTCTTTCCCTCCTCCCTTCCCCAGTGACCTTGCTCTACTTTCCACCATTGCCTGCCTTTAGGAAGGCCTGGCTTCCCTCACTGGGGATTGATAGGGATGGCCCTGTCTGTGGCTTTCTCTAGTCACTGGGTGTCCACTCCATTGGCTCCCAGTTTCATCAGTCTGCTTCCCATCACTGGTGAGTTTGAGGGCAGTAGCACTTCTTTCCCTCCTCCCTTCCCCAGTGACCTTGCTCTACTTTCCACCATTGCCTGCCTTTAGGAAGGCCTGGCTTCCCTCACTGGGGATTGATAGGGATGGCCCTGTCTGTGGCTTTCTCTAGTCACTGGGTGGCCCCTGCTCCAGCCGAGCTCTCTGGGCTAGGGAGAGGCTGGTCTGGCTGCTGTGTCCTGCCCTGGGCCGTGTGTTACTGGGGAGCAAGCTGAGCCCTACGGACCCCTCATCTGCTCAGCGTGAGGCTGGTCAGTGATTTGCTGAGTGTGGCTCTGTCACTGTCTGAGCCTCAGCTGTGTAATTTCAGAAACTATTTTCTGTAGGACTTTGCTACTTAGTGTGCATTGCACATGCCCTTGTGAACTCCCTCTCTAGTCCCAGGCTCCAGGCAGGTGGGACTGGCTGGGCTGGTTCTC